CTCCATCTCCAGCTATACGTATTCCCCCTTTCTAAACCATAAACCTATTACTCTTCAATAACTAACCAACATTAACCCTAAACTTGTTACTCTTCATAACTATCTTAAAACCCTAAATGTATCTTCTTTATCACCACCATAAACCCTCATGAACCAGAAACCTTGAATTAGAAAGCTCTTTTCAAGTCCAACGTATTGCTCTTCATTAGTTGTTTCACCTTGTAAAGCAATGGAAAATGATAACAACAATCTTGATGAGGCTGGTGTTCCATTGGTAAGTTTATTTGTCTTGCATTAACATTCTCTGTTGTTTTCAATCGTTGTTGTTTTGTTTGAGCCATTTGGTACTAGTTTGTTGACTAAATACAGTACTAGACACAAACATTTAGTTCAATATATGGGTTTCGAACGGTAACGCAAATAGTCGGTACTGATGTGTTGAATGGTTCGATTTTTGTATCTTTAATACCAGATTATGTGTTTCGTGAGGGTTTTACCTGAGAGAAATTTTTGACGAGTTTTTTGCACTGGTAGACATGAATTTTTGATGAGTTTTTCGATGGTATTCGTTGGACACACCATCGAGTCGATTATTCCTTTTGTTGAGAGTTGACAAAAATTTCAACGATGGACCATCGATGCAATGTTCTTCATTGAGGCAATAGTGTTTATTGATGCAATGATTGTCGGCGTTCTTTTCAACAGGAGATGAACAGTCATCAAAAGGAGAAAGAGAAAGGGTGTGAAAAATTAAATGGATGTGTCCTTGGGTGTGATAATATTATGAAATAGGGATAAATTTGGTATTAGATAAGAGTGTTCAAAGAAATTTTATTGAAATTTAAGGTTTAGGGTGAGGGCTCAAAAAAATGAAGGGATCAAAAAATTTAAGCAGGTACTAATAGCAATCCTCTTAGTAAATAAAACCAAGCAAAAAAGCCAAATTAGAAAGGAAAAAAAAAAAAAATACAAGAGCATTTATGGTCTGTACATCTATCTATACTATATATTAAGCAAAAGGGGGTTTTTAACCCCAAGTCTCGTGGGAGCTCCAATCTCCCAATTTAAATTTCTAGATTTTTTGATTTAAAAAAAAAAAAAAAAACTTAGCATATATTAACTTCTCCCAACTCCCAAGTCTTACCCTCATAATAACATTTTAATGCACTAAGAACAAGCATAAAAAAAATTCTTTGAAATCTAACACATATGAATTCCTTGACAAGTCCCAACATCTATGATTATTATCCCTCATAATAACACTTTAATGTATTAAGAACAAGTATAAAAAAAATTTATTGAAAAATCCAACACATATGATTATTATCAAAATATTAAACTTTAATATAATATAATAATAAAAAAAAGACATTTAATTCTTTGAAAAGTCCAACACATATAATTATTATCAAAATAATAAACTTTAATATAATATAAAAAAAAAAAGAAGAAGACATTTAAAAAAAAATTATTTAAAAATCACAATTTATATATATATATATAAATAATTATAAATACAATTCGTACATAGCATGGGTGATAGGCTAGTTTTTTGAAATTACAAAATCCTCATTTTGTCCTTAATTGGCAGCACCCACGGGTGTATCATTTGGGTTAGTTAGTTCACAAACACATGGGACTTTTACAGCCTAAAAAATCCCAAAAGACTAAACAGATTATAAGTTAAAGGAAATGAGATTTATTGGTGTTTCGCTCTTAAAAAAATTCATAAATGTTATATTTTTAAGTGTATTTAGATTAAGTAAATTTAAAAATTAAAAAGAATTGATTAAATTATTAAAAAAAATTACTAAAAACAAAAAAAAAATACTAATTGAAAATTGAAAATTTTATTTTTTGAAAATTTCAAACCAAACGTATTTGCCAAATTCTAAAAAAAAATAGCTAATAAAAAAAATACTAATTGAAAATTGAAAATTTTATTTTTTGAAAATTTCAAACCAAACGTATTTGCCAAATTCTAAAAAAAATAAAAATAGCTTTTTTGTGATTGGGAACGTTGAAGTATTTTATTTATTTATTTATTTATTTTTGTGTATGTGATTTTATAATATCAATACACTCTTTACATATCTGAAAAATACTTTCAATATATTTTTTTTTGCATTTTTCTAACACTAAGCATTTTCTTTTTTAAAAAAGTCTACTTTTTAATATCTTTCTAGAAGAACCTAAAAAATTTAAATAATAGTAATACAAAATTTTAAAATTTTACTAAAAACCAAAAAAAAAAAAAATCTAGGAAAAAAAATGTATTGTTTTTAAGTTGCAAACAAACATGAATCTTATTTTTAAAAAGTTACTTTTTTTTTTTCTCAATTATTAGCTGAAAATGGTTAAATTTTTTTGACTAAATAGCCAAAGAGTGGGTAAAAAAATCATAGCCAAACAAAGCCTAAAGAAAACAAATCAAATTTGTTTAATTCATTTTCATTTATAAATTCAAGATCCAACCAATGTAGATTTTCTTCTTATACAATAACAAGAATTGGTTATTAATAGGGGTGAGCAGCGGATATATTGATCCGTTAAAACCGACCGAACCGAATCAATCCGCCGCATTTTGGACGGATGCGTGATGACGAGCGGACGGTTACGGATTGATTTTCTCCAATCCGCCAATTTGGCGAACGGATAGCGAATTTGAGATTTCTTTGGCCGCAACCGAACTGTCAAACCGCGAGCACCCCTAGTAATTTATAAGACTTTGTGTTTTCAATTTGTTTAAATATTATGTTTGTGTTTTCAATTGAAAAAGTGTTTAAATATTCTGTTGAAAAAAAGTTTTCAACTTGAATATATTTTTTGAATTGAAAAAAATAAACGTATTATTTATCTATATTTTTTGGTTTTTAAATCTAACTTTAAAAATAATAAATAGAAAATATGATGTATGTTGGTTGGTTTTTGTTTTCAGAAACATATATAGATGTAACAATACAGAGACATACAATCTCTACTCCTGCTCTGTTCATGGTTTTGGTGGTTTGAATTGTTATTATATTTTAAGAACCACAGATTGTAATACTTTATGTGGATGAATCATTTTGTGATTGTAATATGTGGATAAGGCATGCAGTGATCGTGATATTCTAAAGTTTTAAACTTTCTTTCTTTAGATAAAGCATACGGTGATAGTAATACTTTTTTAAGTCATTGACTGTAATACTTTCTTTCTTTTCTTTTCTTTTTTTTAAGAAGTGCATACGTTGAATTATGTTGAAAATTTATAAAATTTTAAACCGCTAAACCGATTCGTATCCATCCGCCAAACCGCCAATTCGCTCAATCCATATCCGCCGGATTGGCAGACGGATGCGGATTGATTTTCTCTAATTCGCCAATCTGACAGACGGATGACGGATTAAAAGTTTCATAGCCGCAACCGACCCGCGCCCACCCTTAATTAGTTAAAAACCGACCCGCGCCCACCCTTAGTTATTAACATTAACTAACGGGTTACTTTGATTGACCAATCTACTCGTTTACGTGTAAGTTTTATTCTCCAAATATTTATTGAGATTCTTTCTTTCGCCTTGAAAATTTCTTTATATTTATATTGACTCTATTGACTGCTTTTAACATTTATATATAATTTTCCAACATTGATCTCTCTATCCATTAAAGAAAATTGCAAATCTCACCACTAGAAAAAAGAAGTTTATAAATATACAATTATTCCAAGTGCCGGTTTGGAAAATAAAAAATAAAAAATCAAATAAGTGGCAAACTATATAACTTTAATAATTAATGACATAAGCTTTTTTATGAATTGTAATTGTTTTTGAAAAGAAACCACTAATTTATAATTTTCCCTTAATAATTATTCTGAATTTGTGCCAGCCAGATAAACAAAGGCTATGGTTTAGAATTAATAGGGGCAGACAACCTTAAATCAAAGAAAACTCAGCCAATTGCTTAAACACTTTTTTTTAGTTATTCTACATACATCATTCTTTTCCATAATTGGTCCAGGGAGCCTCTCTCTAGAGGTGATTTTCGGCAAAGCTCCGGTGACTTTTTGGCGATCATTTTTCTACTTTCAAAATGTAAATCTACACTCCTAGAGTATAGATTTACCATTTTCGAGTGTAGATATGGACTTTTTATGTCCAATATAGGAGTTTTGAGAGTTTTTTTCTCCAATTTCGGCATAAGTTTTTTGTTTTTCGACAACCACAATCGTTCCCTCCTCTCTAAACCCTTCTCCCATACTATTGTGGGTGTTCTTCTTTCTTCGGCGACAGTGGCAGCAGCATTGGACAGCAGCGACGGGGACATTGTGGATAAGGACGACAGGCTTTCAAGCAGATCTTGCTTCACAGACCACATCTTTGAGCAGATTGGTGGTTTTCCCTGGCTTGTGGCTGTTTTTTTGGCGGATTTGTTCTTTTGTTGTTGTTTTTTTCTTTTGTTGTTTGGTTGGGATGACCCTTTGGGGTCTTATTTCTATACTTTTATTGTTTTATTAATATATTGTTTCCCATGTTCTCAAAAAAAATAAAAATAAATAAATTAGATTCATATGATAATTCTAGTTATATTATTTTATTTTTTATAGATAATTTACATATAAGTTCCTAAACTATCAACCGATCGGATTTTTAAGTAGGACCCATGATGGACCTAAACTAAACAAGCTCTTACACTTAATGTCTCTCTAAACTCGCGATATATAATAACTTTATATATTAAAAATAAGAACTACACAAACCTCCCATGATGTATCATATCTCTCATTAATGTCTTTGGAGTAGGAGGATTTGCAAAAATACTATCATATCCTATGTTTGTTTGAAATCAGTGAATATAGACTACATGATGTAATTATCATAATTTGAGGATATTTTAATATTTTAAGGACTTTCCTTAATTTATTATTTTTATATAATTTGAGAGGCTGCCAATCCATAAGTATACTTCTGCATTCAAGAGAAAAATTTAGCATTGAGCAAGATACATATACCGATTCCATGGCAAGACCCAAAAGAACACAATCTTAGAGCAGTCTAACATAAAATGTACATAAAATTATATAATAAGAAGGGCATGTATGACTTCATTTTTGCTTGCAATCTATCTACCTAAAGGCACCACCCCTTACAAATTACAATGAAGTGCATCCATCACTTATTCCTATGAACACCAAATTTCTAATGCCTAAGCCACTAAGGGAGAAGAAACTAGTAAAAAGAACAATGTAACTTTGTGCATTGCAAGGCTTTAACAAAATCGACTCATTTTAAAATTTCATGAAAGAGTCGATATTTTAAATATCAGATGATACGTATTGAGATTTTAGACTTTCGATGTCGATATATTAAAATACTGTAATTAAAGCTCTCAAGTTCCTTAAACCAAGACATCATTTTGAAGCTTTGGAAAAAAATTCTCTTTCTCAATGTTCTTCGAATGTTGATGAAAGATGGTTGAAGAGGAGGATTGGTTTTTCGGGGAGCAATGGGGAAATTCCGATAGCATTTGAACCACCTCTCTCATTGTTGGCCGCTCAATGCTATTTTCTTGGGTACATTGCATGCCAATGAAGAACAAATGCATGGCTTCATCTAGGGGCACTGATGAAGTGGTTATAAGAAGCCTAGCATCAACAATCCCAATCACTTCCTCTTTTCGGCAACTGGTTGCTTTCTTAGCCCACTGTACAATGTCTACACCTTCTCCGAATTCACCCACCGGACGCCGCCCGGTAATGAGCTCAAGCAGGACTACTCCAAAACTATACACATCGCTCTTCTCATTTACCCTTAATGTGTATGCATATTCTGAAGGGAAAAAAAAGGGAAAGAAAATTATATTAAATTTAACAGTGCAGTTTTGGTAGCAACAGTTTTTTAAAATAGTTTGTCAAATAATTTTTTCATGTTTTTCACAAAATAAAGAACATAAAACATAAACATGAAAGAGCCACTAATAATTGTAATCACATAATTTTAACACATTTGCCTTTTTAAAAAATTATCAGGTATGATTTTAAAAATAGACAAAAAAATTTTTTTGATAAATGTGATAAAATTATATTATTATAATTATCATATTAATTTAATTTTTTTGCAAATGATCTAGGCCAGCAACTTAAAATATCAAGGGCTTGTTTGGTTTGTTTATCAGAAAAAAAAAATTTTTAAAAAAAACTAATTTGATAAAAATAAATATCAAAAGATATTTTTAAATTTTTAAAAATTATTTCTAACTTTCCAAAATATATAATTATATGAAAATGATAAGTATTTTTAATTTTTTAATTTTTTTCACCAAATTAATTTTTAATTCTTTTTTAAAAAATTTGAAATAAGTTTCTGCAAACCAAACCAAACATGACCTAAATTATTAAATTCGTGATGAGTTCATAAGTCCGACCTGAATTAATGCAGTGTTTCTTATCGCTTTTTTCAATTTAAAAGTTTGTATAAGATTCTTTGGTACAAATTTTTTTTAAACATAAATAATTTAAATAAACTAAAAAATATTTTTTTAATTTTTACTTTATGATTATTAATTTTTAACTTGTAATCAACTCCATCAAACAAATGAAGCACATACCAGGCGCAATGTAGCCGTAAGAGCCGGCAATTGCTGACATGCACTCGGACGCTCCACCCTCCACCAAGAACTTGGCCAATCCAAAATCAGCAACATGAGCTTCGAAGCTGGAATTCAACAGTATGTTGTTGGATTTCACGTCTCGATGAACGATCAAAGGCGAGCAATCATGGTGGAGATAGCAGAGTCCTCTCGCAGCTTCAATAGCAATTTTGTACCTCAAATTCCAACTCAAAAACCCTCCTTTTTTACAGTGCAAGGCCTCTCCTAAGCTCCCATTTCGCATGTACTCGTATACGAGCACATTCGTCTCCTTGTTCGAGCAGAATGCCAGCAATCTGACGATGTTTCGATGCCTGATGTTGCCTAGGGTTCGGATCTCGGCTCGAAAACCATGGTCATGGCTGTTACTACCTGGTAGATGGTAGATATATATCAAAATGTAATAGATTGTATACTTTGAAAACTAGAGGGGGGAAAAAAAAATTAAAAGATTAAGGCCTAAAATATAACATGTTGCATACTTATGCAACCATTAATGTATTTAACCCAAAATAAAAATAGGCTGAATTTAATCTCATTACATGTATGTAAAAAATATTGGGTATGTTTGGTTTGCATTTGGGAGATGAGTTTTAGAAAAAAAAAATTTAAAATTGTTTGGTTTGAGTTTTTCTCAAAAAAATTTCAAAATCACTTTCTCTCTCTTACACATCAATCAATCATTTTTTCTCTCTCCTCTCTCATTCTCAATCACTTTTTCTTTCACACACATATACTCAAATTCTCCCAAAATATCAAATCATCCCAAACTCCCAAAAAAACAATTCTCTTAGAATATACAACCAAACAAACCAAAAAAAAGTTTAAACTCTCTCTCCAAATTTTTTTTAAAAAACAACTCTCCTAAAAACAAACCAAACAAGCCCACTATGTTTAGATTTCAATAATATTGTAATGATCACATTTTTATAATATATTTGGTTTATCAAGTTATCACTACTACCAACAAGTAGTGAGAACATTAAACTAATGTAGTGATGATAAACCAAATTTGATATAAAAGTGTAGTCATTTTAGCATTATTGTAAGAATTTCCTAGAAAAATGCATGAGAAGATAGAGGATGCAATGGCTAACCTACCAAACCCAAGAAGTTTCTTGACTGCAATTTCTGTTCCATTAGCCATTTTGCCATGGTAGACAATCCCAGCACCTCCTCTCCCAATCACATTGCCATCTTTCATACATTCAAGCACATCTGAGACCTTAAACTCAAGCTTTTGAAATGCAGTCATCTTCCATGAAGAAGAACTACTCCTCTTGAATGACTTAGCCTTGATTATAGCCACAGCAACAAACACCAGAGAGCAAATCAACATGCCAAGAGCAAAAATCAGCTTGAAATCCTCTGAACCCTTCTTGGGTTGTTGTGTGATTGTGCTGACATTGCAAGGATTGTCCAACAATGGTCCACAGAGTTGAGGATTCCCCGCGAACGATGAGGCATTGAAGAAGGCGAATTGCCCGGATTGAGGAAGTTCGCCGGAGAGATCATTGAATGAGAAATCAGCAGTTGTGAGGCTTTTCATTGACCCAATTGATTTGGGTATGGTGTTATTCAATTGGTTTCTTGATAGATTCAAGTAATTCATGATTTGGGTATTGGAGATTTCGGGTGGGATTGAGCCAGAGAGGTTGTTCATGCTCAAGTCTAGGTAGGTAAGGTGGTTACAGTTTCCAATTTCCGGTGGAATTTCGCCAGAAAGTGAGTTTCCACTGAGGTCAAGTTTTAGTACTTGGTGGAGTTTTCCTATGGAAGGTGGGATTAGACCTGAGAATTTGTTTCCCCCAAGCAGGAGGATTTGGAGGGAAGAGAAATTGGAAAGAGAGAATGGTAAAGAACCAGACAGGAAATTATTTGACAGGTTCATTTGAGCTAATTTTCCTGGAATTGAACTGTCATTCACATTCTCAGACAAAGTCCCTGACAAATAGTTTTCTTGTAATTCAATTAAATTTAGCGTAGGCAAGTAAATGAAGCCATTTGGAATGCTACCGTTCAAGAAGTTTTGGCCTAACCTCACTTTAACAAGGCTTGAGCATGTCCCTAAACTCTTTGGAATCGATCCAAAGAGAAAGTTTTTGAGAAGAATCAGTATCCTAAGTTGGGTTGAAGCACACAAGTTTGGAGGGATAGTACCGGTGAGCTTGTTTGACGACAAATCGAGATCTTGAAGCTTCCCATTTTGGCCGAGATTGTTGGGAATTGTGCCGGTGAAGTTGTTGAGCCAGAGTTGGAGGGTTTCCAAGTTAGGAAAGTCAGCAAAAAAATCTGGTATAGACCCATGCAATCGGTTCATGAAAAGGTTGACAAGTTTGAGCTGTTTGAGATTGGCTAGCTCATATGGGACTTCCCCAACTAGTGCATTGTTGGAGAGATCAAGATTGACCAGGCTTGTTAGGTTGCCTAGTTGATTTGGTATTGAACCTGAGAGGAGATTCGTGTGCAAATACAATGTTTGGAGCGAATTCAAATTCCCCAACTCGCTGGGAATTGAACCATCCAATTCGCACTTCGAAAGATCCAAGTGAATTAGATTTACCAATTTTCCAAACTCTTTTGGAATTCCACCTTCAAAGAAATTGTCATTGCCTAACTCAATTTTCTTCAAGTTTGTGAGATTTCCCAACTCACCGGGGATTTTCCCATGCAAATCATTTCCATCCAGCAACAGATGCTCCATCGCAATGAAATTCCCATAACTTTCTGGGATTTTGCCAAACAGGTAGTTTCCTCCCAAGTCCAAGTACCTGAGTTTCTTCATACTCAAAAGCCCAAGAGGAAGCAAAGCATTGAAATTGTTGTTATAAGCATCGAAAACCTCCAAATTCACCAGGCTTGAGTAGTTCCAATCTAGACCGCCTTCAAACTGGTTGTTTGATATGTTTAGTACTCGAAGATTACTCAAATTTGAAATCTTGATTTGGCCTGTGAAGTTGTTGCCAGCAAGAGAAAGCTCGGTTAGCTTATTGAGGCATGAAAAAACAGAGGAAAGAGAGCCACAAAGACTCATATCTGATAAATCAAGAGAAACAACTCTTCCCTTGAAGCATTTGATTCCAACCCATGAACAAAGTGAGGTTGGATTTGAGGAATTCCAAGTACTTAAGACCGGTTCAGCGAACTCAAAGCCTCGTTTGAGAAAGATTAAGGCATGGAAGTCACTAATGAGAGAAGTTGAAGCAGAGGTACCAAGAAGAAAGAAGAGTGTTACAATAGTGAAATGTGGCATATTTTCTAGGAAATTTTTTATGGAAATTGAGTTTGGAAGAAGTGAAAGAAGTGTGTATGGATTTTAAGGGCTAAGGGGATAATGGATTTGTTGGGAAAGGAAGGAAAAGTGAAGGGAATCTGGAAACTTTGATTTTGAATAAATTTGAAGAATCAATCATCTTCAAAGAAAGAGAGTTCTAGCTAGTTCAAGGAAGAAGCTAAGCCTCGCCTTTTCCTTCTCTCTCTCTCTCTCTCTCACACACACACACACACACACAGTGGAGAGAAAAGAGGAGGATTGAAAATGTTCTAAAGATGGTTTTGTTTTGAGCTATATCTGCATGTATGTATCATGAGCTTCTTTAAGCAAAGCTAAGAGTGAATAAAAAAATGGAAAAGCAGAGAAGAAGGTTTTGTGGGAATTGAAATTAAAAAAACAGCCGTTGGGGTAACAGAAATTTAAAGTTCAGATTAAGAGAAAAGTAAAGTTGATTCCCTACATCTCTTTCCTCACTGTGTCTCTTTCTTTTTTCATATGACAAAATTGCCCTTTAGCTTTAATCAAAGGATACTCTTTTTCTTTGAGTGAGTGATGATGAAATTGCACTTTCAACAGTCAGAGAATTTCTTATTTCTGCTTTTGATAATTGCACATTCTTTTCTTTTCTTTTCTTTTCTTTTTCTTTCTTTCGTCCTTTCTCTCTCCTTTTTTTTTTTTTTTTTTTGGTACTTTTGATAAATGATGATCAGTGCATGCCACTATTACAAAGTATCGTCTGTCACTATTCCAAAGCTTGAAAATGACTTCAGGTTGAGACTGAGGAGAAAACTGGCAATATTGGCTTCTTATTAAAGATCATAATACTAAAATTGCATCTTTCTTTCTTATCTGCAAATAACAATTTAATTATAAATGATAATTTATAGTAGTGTTGTGATCTTGTAATACCAAACTTGGGGCATTTATACACTGTGTACTTTTATGTATAAGAAATGCAGTTTCAATACACGAAACTCTTGTTCCTGTTAGATATGAAAAAGTCAGATGTATACAGTTTTACTCTTGCATTTAGAAAATTAGATATACTATTTTCGTGATTTGAATCCATGATGCCCAAGTTACAATAAAGCAAACTTTACCATTGCTTCAAGACCCATCCTATATCTTGATATTTATGTATACATTATAAATACACAAGGGCAATTTTCTATATTACCCTATTGCCATCTCTATGATTCTGTCCCCATGAAGGGGTTGGAAACATGTGCCTGCAACAACAGTGAATGTAAGAAGTAAAAGATGATGATTATTCATTTATCATTACATTGTTGTTGTTGTTTTTCTTTTTTTAATGATCTATATATAATTGTGTTGTATAGATAGGTTGCATGGAAGAAGGAAACCAAGGAAGCTTTTTCTTCTTTTTCTTATGCTTTTGTCCCTTCTCCTGCCTTAGGCTACAGGCCTGGGACCATCTATCATTGTAATGTGTGTATTTGAACTTTATTAGAAGAAGATGGAATAGTCTTAAATAGAGGGCTGAAAAGAAAAAGCTAGAGATACATATTTTCTGTTGATCTTCCACTACAAGAGAAAAAGAAAAGAAAAATCCATGATCCATCCCTTCACATGGAAAAAAGTGCTGTGTATTAATTTGAAACTTATTCAGAGCCCATCTCTCTATCTTAAAAGAAAACAAAGAACCCATCACACATGGGAAAGAGTGCTCTTGTATTAGCATGCCTTCAAATAGGACTCTCTCTTTCTCTCTGATGTGGCTTTTGTGGTAACTGTTCACAAAAAAAAGGTTCATACATGGCCCAAATGATAAATCATCAATTATGCTAAGAACTTAAACAAACAGTTAGGAAATAGATTTAACAATACATATCAAGATATTCAACATTTTTCCTCACATGTAATCTCAATGCAAACATCCATACAACGAGAGAGAAGAAAGAATACAAACGGAGACGAAATGTAAAAGCTTAAGTTGTTAGAAGTCTAAGAATGTATTTCAAACTATTCAATAACAAATTCATTCTAAGTGTGATGGAGACTAAAGTGGACTGAACATATCATATAAATCATGGGTCGGACAGAGAATCGTTTGAACTGAGTAAGGCCACACAACCCATATTAGAGCATTGGCCAGACACCTGCTTCTCAAGAATTCCATGTAAGAATTCCATGTAACATAATAGCAAACCTCAGAGAATAGTTGGCTTGATCTCGAGAGAAAATTGAGCAAGGCAGCTATGACCATGCAGGATTGGAGGCAATGGATAGGAATAGATGATATACTCTGGTAAGGGGGTAGAAACTCTGCTTACATATCTCTTTATGGTCTTGCTCTTGTTCTTTTACTCTGCTTTGATTACTGATTTAAGCATCATAACCAAACTCCGGTTAGGTAATGTTAACAATGTTTTAGTGTGTAGCCCATATCAATTTCTTGGAAGCCTTTGAAGGGTCATTATCTTTGGTGACCTGGCTCTCTTATGGGCAGCAAACCTTTTACATGGGTACTCATTGTTCAGCTTAGCAAATATGTTGAGGTCTTGTGGGGAACATCTCAACTTCATTAGATTATTGAGACCAAGGGATAAACATGTGGAGCACTGCATCTTTTATTGAGAGTGATGTTTATGTTCAAATATTTCTTTGAGATGTAATTTTCCTCTCTTCTATTAACATAACCACATGCGCAAATATTTTGACCAAAATACCTATTCACTTTACGCTGTGTTTGGTTGGAGGATTTGGGAAGGGAAATGGAAAGGAGATGTAATTTTCCTATCTTCTATTAACATAACCACATGCGCAAATATTTTGACCAAAATACCTATTCACTTTAATCTCATTTTCCTATCCCAAAAAAAAAAAAATAATAATAATAATAATAAATATAGTTTCTTTCACTTTATTTTATTCCTTCTTTCTTTCCACGAATTATGAATGTCCGCCGCACCCCATCGATTGATTTAAGGGTACTTGAAAGAACAAATTAATCATCTAATGCATAGCAATCAATTTTGCAATGAAAAGGGTACCCATATATGAAAGAACAACATGAGCCCAAAAAGATATAAAGCTAGCTCTAAGGCATTCCGACACTTTAAAATTAATAAATTAATTTAAAAAAAAATAAAAATCAACAGCTTTGGAGGTGCCCCCAACAATGTCAGAGACCTCTAAAAACACACCTCTAATGAGGTGAAAAAAAAAAAAAAAATCAAGACACATGACTGACAGTGGCAGTGGGTGCTACCACATCACTAGTGGTACCTCTAAATTAGAGGTCCCAAGCATTTTTCGAGGTGCCCCTAAGAAGCATTATTAAAAAGATGAAGCTCATCAATAATACTTGAGACCACTAAAAATGGTGTTCTAAAGGCACTATTAGTGATGTGGCAGTAGACGGGGTCTACTACTTGTGTCTTGCTTTTTTTATTTTTTTATTTAAAGTGTTCGCCAACTCATTAATGATACTTTAAAACATCACTTTTAATGGGATATATCATTACCGTGGAGCTCATTTATATTATATTTATGAATGGTTCTTATTCCTATGCAGCTGTTGGTAAAGAACAGAAAGATTGCAAAATTTGAAAATAAATAAAATGTGAAAAGTGAAAAAAAAAAAAATAATTGTAAAAGGGCTTCTAAGGCATGCCAATAAAGCAATACATTAGGTGGCTCCAACACGTAAATGGAGGCGCGTGTAGAACCCACTCTAATCAACTTAATTATATAATTATTAGGATTTTTTTGAGAATTTATTTTTTTAATAATTTTTTAAATTTTTTTATAAAAATTATGTAAAAAAATAGGAGGAATAAGTTAACTTTTTGTATTTATTTTTAAATTTTTTAGTTAATTTAACCAATTGTCAAATAAGGTTAGGATATGTAACTGCTAGGAGTGTGTGCATGTGGTTCGGACAGTTTGAAAGTAACATTATAAACTGAATAGTAGATTAGCGGATTGATAGATTGGCAAATTACGGTTTGAACGGTTTTTGACAGATTGACAAATTGAAAAATATTCTAACTAATTATCAAGTTTTTGTATAATATATAATACTAATTTGCATAATATTTTTCATATATATAACACAAATTAATTTTACATAATATTTTTCATATATATATAACTATTAATTTGTAATAAATTTTATATATTAAATCTTTTTCATATTTATTTTTTACTTTGATATTTCATTATAAGTTAAAAAATATATATGTATTATAACGGAGCAGAATAATTTCAAAAACAAATTATAAATTTTAAAATTTAAACCATAATTAACTGATAAAACAATATAACTAAGTACGAATCAATATAACTTTAACTAAGGCCTCGTTTGGGAACATGCTAATTTAGTAATTTTTTGACTAATTGGCTAAAAAGGTTGGTAAAAAAAACTTGTATGTTTGAGATGACTTTTTGACTAATTACGAAAAGCTGTGCAAAAAGTAGAGAGAAGCCGTAATTGTTGACTTTTTGGTATGACTAATTGACTAATTAGCTAATTTAATAATTTTTTAACTAATTGACTAATTTAATAACATCCCAACCGAGGCCTAAGTTACATTTTGCACCGCGTAAACTGCAATGCACGATTCGCGAATTGGTTGGTATCACACAAGTACAAGAGCAAAGTGAATACTAGACTACACGCACGTGAAAATGAAAGAACCATTTGCCTAGTATGATCAATAGCATTGGCAAGCAGTTGTCATCCCAGTGAAACCACATCACACCACGGAACGTTCCAAACTTGCTGACTCACCCAGTCACTATCTTATTCTTCTTGGAATGTTTCTGGGAAAATTGCATTTCAGCCTTAGTAGTGGAGAAATGATTTTATTTTTATAATAATGTAACTTATCTATATATTACATAAGTTTATTTTTGTCTTTGGTGTAAAAAAGTTTCGTGTTTCAAAATTGTACTAAAAAATATTCCTCTTTGTAGTACATGTTATTTTATGACTCTCCACCTATTTTCAATTTGTCCAATATTTTATTAGCAGTAATATGAATGGTAAGTACTATTATACCATTATCACTTTGAATTGTCATTTTCCACTCCAAAAGCGGAGCACTTGAGGGAAGGTACTGCAAATCCAACACCATTCGGTGTATTTAGTTTCAGTTTTTTGAATTCAATTTTTTAAAAATTGAATTTTTTGGTTTTCGTATTTTTTTATTTTTAGTGAATATTTTTAAAATTTTAAATATTTTTTTTTACTTTTTTAGATACACCTTACTTAGATGTATCTAAAAAGCACAAAAATTGTGAAAAAATATTTAAAAAAATTAATAAATACAAAAAAATACAAAAAATATACTGAATTCTCGTATTTTTTTCGTATTTTTGGTA